CATCTTTCTATCGAAAGAACTATTTTTGAACGAAGGATTTACTTTCAAGTCTTGGCGCTAATTGGTCTGGAAACATAGGTATTAGAGTTTTCAATCGAAGCTTCATCGTGTGATAAAATTTTTATGATTAAATCTTCATGGATATAATTTTGTTGTATTTAGACGGTTTATTTGTATTTACTTGAGGGAAGTTTAACATGTAGACCGGTTGCAGACTTCCTTTCAGTAGTTTTCTTCACTGTGACCTTTATTCTTGTTGCTGCGGAGTTCCATTTCTTTGCAGACGCAAGAAGTGTTCTAAATTCAGTGAAGCGCGACACTAAATGTGAACTCTCGGTTTCAACTGGGTTTTATTGGATGCCAGAGATTTCTTTGGCAGTTAAACGGTACTTTTCAAGAAGTAAATGTAGATTCTTATGAATTGGGATAATTTATTTGTGCGGTGAAGGCAAAAGGTACAGAGAATTGTCCTGAACAATTTATTGAAGATGGAAAAATACGTATAGGATCGATAGAAACAATAGTATTTATCAAATTCTAGAATAAATAGAATACTACACGATTTAAATTTTTATTTAAGCCTTGAGAACATTCGTAGCACTTTCGGGACGAACATTTCTAGAACATTCGAAGTTCAAGTCTTACGAACATCCCAGGGATGTTCAAAATGGACGTAGGATATTCGGATATAAACTGAAAATGAAACGGACGTTTGGATATACGGTGCTGTCTGGGTCCATACTATCCTTTATCCTACATTACTTATCCACATTATTCATTTTCCTGCAATATTTCTCCATATAACTCCGATTCTTATATTATTCTAACTACTATTCCTTGCTACATTATTTCTATTCTTATATTATTCTTCCACATTATTCTTTTTATCCATTATTCCTCAATACTACTCATCTTTCTACATTATTCGTGCATATTACCCTTTTCTTATATTATTCCTTTACATTATTCCTTTACATTATCTACGCATTCTCCGCTTTCTTATATCATTATTTTCGTATAAACCAGTCACGAATCGACCTGCTGGCCGAAATAAGTCCGTGACCCAGCGGACTGTCCAGATCTTTCGAAAATGACCTTCGGTGTTCTCCCTCGCGTATCATTACGAAACCATTCATTTGTCATGTGCACGCCGATGCTGCGTATTTCATCAGGCAGCGGGGGGAGGGGACACGTTATCCCAGTCTATCAACGCGAGGAAAGGATAGTCGCATTTTATCACGGGTTCCGCTGGAAATTAATCGGCGCACGCTCAGGGAACATGATGCATACCGTATCGTTCGAAAGTCCCGCAACAACGTTACCTCCCTGTCTCAAGGACGAACTGTGTGCCAAAGCCGTCTCGAATATTCCCAACGACCGCGCGTTCGCCATCGATCGAGCAATCGATGTCCATGTTATCGTCATCGACACAGGATCTGATATCACTCGAAGGTTCCGTATTGTGAAATCATCGATTCCGCGGTGACATTTTGTTACATCGGTGTTCTCAGATTTATCCTGTTATACAGTACCGGACAAAAGTATTCGTACGCCCTTTAAAACGGAACAACTTGTTTAAAATTGGCACAAATTACTTGAGTTTTTCCGTAAAGTTAGGGACATCGGTTTACTAAATGATATGTAAACAAAAAATTGAAAAAGTTGCAATTGATCGGAATCGCGAAGAAAATAGTAAAGGTCATTTTTACGACTTTTTAATCTGAGACTATAATGAAAATTTAATAAATACATATCGAAAATTTATGTTTGTTATACACATGTTGAAAATTTCATCAAAACGGTTAAGGTTGTTATGAGATGCAAACGATTAAAAATGTTGAAAATCACAGTTTTTCCGGAGTTTCGACCTGCAACTGCAGTAAATTTAACAGTTCTCACATCTTTTGATGGCTGCCGCTCGTTTCTGTATCAACCGATTTCAATGAAAGTTTCAGTATGTATATAACTAACGTAAATTTTCGGTATGTATTTATTAAATTTTCATTATAGCCTCAGACTTAAAAATTGTACAAAAACGACCTTTACTATTTTCTTCACGATTCCGACCAATTGCAACTTTTTCAATTCTTTTTACACATCATTTAGTAAACTAATATTCCTAACTTCACAAAAGAACTGAAGTCCTTTGGACCTGTTTTAAAAAAGTTATTCCATTTTAAAAGGTGTACGAATACTTTTGTCCGGTACCGTATATTACTTCATTTATTCTAATAAATTTGAAACGTACAAGAAAATAATATTTATACAGTACTTTAACCGTCAAACGGCGGTGTCTGGGTCCATTTTGACCCAAGATTTTAAAAACTTTACTCACACCTTCAATTACAAAAACTAACTGAAGTGTACAGTTGTTTATATTAACATTTCATAAAAAGACACATATATTTTGTAGACATTATAGTTCCAAAACACATCTAAAGATAGATGAGGAGGGATCTATCTGGACCCAGGTATCTTCATCTGTTCAATTATCGAAAAGATCCATCTTTTCATGGTCAATGATGACAGATTGTATTGAACAATTATAGAATTCTATCGTCTGGTTGCTTCATTAGTCCATCATTAGATGGACACTTCTGTATTAAAAACTTTTCTGTTTCTAGTATGGAATTCAGTAACAGTAACTGTTTAATTTATCGATTTCAATAGAATCATTTATTAAATGTATGTGTTTTTTATTCTATTATGTATTAATTTATTTAATGGATTTACCTCATGTGTTATCTTAATGGATTTGAAACGTCAGATGAAAGATACTGTAGCAGCATAATTTTATAAAAGTGATCAATGTGCCTGTGTTTTTCAATTAGTACGCAATTACAAAATTGGAGTTCATCTCTATTAGACATGATGGAACTGATCTGTTATGTAAAAAGCTCTTTATCTTTAGGTTATATAGTTTCTAAACATTCAGTACAACAATGGGTACAACAATGATAATTTGAGCGACAATTACGAAATACATGTATGTATAGTTAAATTACGAGCAACAGAGTATCTACAATCTGTGGCTACGTCCATGAATTGTGTATCAAATTTATATAGAGCATTGGAGAGTGACTTAATAAATAACTGAAAGTTATAATCTATTTATTCCATAGTCAAGTTATAAGATTTGCTTATAGTCACAAATTCACGCATTTTAATAACATTTAGTATTGTTATTGCAAATCTGTCAAATCAGGATATTTATGAGCGGGAAGGAAATTTCAGAAGTGGAGGCAATAATTAATTTACTAAAAATATAGATTGGTGCAGTCCACAGATGAAAAACAAATTTGCAATAACTCGAAAATATTAATAACTATAACGAACGAGTCCAATTTCTTGAGGTGTCAGCTATTTTACAATACGTGCAATTCTAAAGGAATTGCTTATAAGGCTTTACTCATGGCAAACCTGCTCCAGTAAATCACATGGTACCATTATTTCGCAAGTGGTCATACTGAACCTTGACATTATGAGAGTGAAAACATTACTCAGTTGACTTGGGGAATGATTTAATGTCATTATTCGGTTCTTTTTCACCGTGCCCCGATTTGCTCCATATTGTTAACACTTCAATTAAATCAGAAATAATATGTTGGGTCTCAATAGTAAATTATTTTTGCATACCATGGAGTGGAACATTGAAGAGTCAAAAAACATTTGTCTTGAATTTCTTTTGTCATATTTGAAATTTTCTGCAACTACAAAACAACAACAATACAAAAAAATTATATAATCAAACAAAAAATGCGCTAAAAGTTTTTTTCGAAGTCACTTGCTTAACATTTAAAATATATAATTATTTTCAGTAATACATTTGAATTATTATAAATCATTACATAAATATTTCTGCTATTGACATTTGATTCTGATTAGTAAAATATTGTAAACAATATCAGTACCCTTTTGACCGTTCCAGAAATTGAAAATATCGTTAAAGAAAAATGTGAATTGCACAATTAATTTTCTCATAGTTTCAACAAAATCATATTGACACTTCTGCAATATCATTTAATAATTCACTTGAGTTCAACAATAAACAATGTAACAAGTCGGTAGAAAACTTCAAAGTGTCAAAGAATTGAAATACCGTAAATCCTCGATAACTGTTCGAAGGCTCCTCGGCACTTAACATTAGATATTTCATAACCTAATGGCCATACGCGGCTAAAACAAATATCATCAGCTTCAGAATTTCAAGCATTGTGCTAAACCCCATTATAAATTCAGCGTCACACCTATGTATCCCTCTTTATCAGTGCCAAGGAGCCTTCCTACACTTATCGAGAATTTACTGTACGTCGAAGTAACGAGGGATTGATTCAGTGAGAGAACTGCTTCCTTTCATGCCTATTATTTCATAAACGTAATCTTCCTGGTATGCATAAGTATAAAAAGCTGTAATTAAAACGGCAGCGTTTTCTGTAGGCTTCTCGAAGGCGTGTACCTCGGCTTTTATGCAAGAATTTTCGCTTACGTCGTCGGTTCCACGCCGAATTCCACATACCGCGGTATACCAAAAGAAGGCATCACGTAATTGTATACGCCGATATGTTTTCTCTGTAACGGAAACTTGATAGAACCGCGGCAGACGCAAGGAATCTGTGTTACATGGTCAATAATATATGGACATGCATTAAGCATGAAAAATGATAGTCGTTTTTTGCGTGTTCTCCCGTTCCACTTAAGGACGTTCGAAAGCTGAGTAACACATCGATAGCATTGGGAAAAATACTGCGTAACGATAAAAGAAAGAAGTGTACATGACGAAAAACAATGGTGACTCGACTTTATTTTATGTTGTACAGCTATTATAATAGGACAGCAAACAGGTACGGGAAGAAAAAGTGTAGAAGGGAGAAGTAAAATAATGTAAACCTGTACGAAGGTATAAAGAAGAATATGTAATGGGCGAGGTTTAGCTATATACAATAAGCTGCTGTTAGATTTGACTTTGATTATACGGAATATTGAACGAACTGGTAGAAGAAATGATGGAAGAGATGATGGAAGAAATGATGCAAGAAATGATGGAAGAAATGGTGAAAAAAATAATAGAAAAAATGGTGGAAGAAATGATGTAAGAAATAATAGAAGAAATACACCAATGACTGGATTCAAGGAACTGCATCTTCAATTATTACTTCTAATAATGTTATTCAAATAGTTATTCGAATTCGTCTGGTGAAGTATTATTATTTCACACTTATTTGAATAGGCTCAAAAAAGATGAAAAAATTCAGAGGTTAGTTTTACAAACTTTACAAATGTTTTATTGGATTTATCAAAGTAACATGTTTATTGATACACAATCGACTAAATTGAAACGAGGGGAAAGTAAATTTAAAAATTTGAAAGGATAAAGGTCATTCAGTCACACCATTTAAGAAAAGGGAAGAAAAAATCGAGATTGTATGACGAGTACAAGTAACGGAAATCCCTGTTATTGGTGCTGCAGAGTCTGCGTAACCACTGAAAGTGATAGTTGAAATGACAGTGTTTCCTGCAAGCCGACGAACGCGGGGCATTTTTAACGAAGGAATTGAGTTCAGAGAAGCGTGGTTTATAATTACCGTAAAAAGCAGAATTCCACTATAACAGTAAAAGTGAACCATAGAGTAACGCACGAAATGGAACCGTTACTCTATACCAGAATAAATGAAAGATCAATTAAACGACTAAAATTTATTTTCGACAAAATATGTTACCAGAAGGTTAAAGACATTTTATTACACTTTATTTAGATCTTAACAAAAAAAGTAAATGTATAAACTTTGCAATTGTAATTCTTTTATCAAAACGTGAAATACCTAGCAAAAAGTGCTTTCTTTCAAACAATTTCTATCGCCGTAAATTATTAAAGGGAGATAAGACACTACTGCTCATAAGTAGATTGTGAAAGTTTATAAAAATTCACTATTTTGAATACAAATATATATAAAAATTAAAAGTGGATAGAACTTTAATTGCTACACTAGGGACTTTCTTACGGTAATAATAACACATAAATAACATCAAAACTTTATTAATCCTTTTGCCCCTAACGCCGGCTATATCTGTCATCCGTAAGCCATTAAATACAAGGTTTTAAATAATAAAACTTCATTCTTATGTGAATTCTATTTTGTTTTCTGTATGAAAATAATATCTTCATTTGGATATAATTCCATATTGTCATATTTCTTCAATTGGATATTTTTAATATTTTCTTCAATTGGAAACAGTGAAGTAACTAAAATAAGGTCGTGATTCCTGCCAGTCTACATATCCGTAATGCATAATCGCAACTCTACTGACGCTGCTGCAGCAAAAGGGTTAAAACCTTCATTACTAATACGTTTACCAATTTAAGAGGTGCATCTATAATGCAGAAAAATACTCATAAGTATTTATCCTCCTATCGAAGAAAGGCTTAGAATTCACATTGAGAATATTCAATAAAAGATCATGAATTTCATTCCCTGTTTGGCTCTTACTGTGAAGGAAGGCAGGTTTCTTCTACGAATCCAGAATACTTTTTACAAAGTGACTCTGATATGGGTTCGATCGTTACAGGTGGTAAACGCCTGCGAATCCTATGATATTTAATTAGATCAGTTGAACCGAATCGAATCGTAGCCAGCCGTGGAAAAGTTAAGTATCTAAACAGGATCTCTATTACGCGGATCAACCAGTAGGTACATACTCTCCGTTTCGCGTGCTGTGAACGAACGCGAAAAAGTGACAGTTGGGAACGTTTCCTGTGGGTCGTCGCGAGGCGTGGTGTGTGTGTGTGTGTGTGAGTCTGTCTTTTGTTGCGAGCATTTGCTCTCGGCTCGGTTCAAGGAGATCCAAAAGCGACTGCCGCAGCGGCGCACACCGAAGAAATACACAGCAGCGAGTTACGACGCTCTGAATCTGAATCTCTCACGGTAACCACGCCGCCATAATCCTGCCTCGCCCCGTATTCGGGTCAACCGTAGTGTAGTAGGAATTACGTAACACGTGTGCGCCGGGGCGGTTCCCACCGAGTCGCTATACCGGAAGTCGGGACCACCAGGTTCTTGCCGTAAGGACATACGGTCAGCCTCCGTCGAGCATGGGAAATCCTGGTTATAATAGGAAAACTTATCGAGGATGAATCAGCCGCGACAAAAAGTATTACAAGGAAACTGAAACCTATTCGCAGATGGTATGGAAATAAGAGTGCAGATATGCAAATGGCAGAATAGAAGAACGTTTATGTTGATGTCTTCTTCAAGTTTTCGCTGTTGAGGATTAGGTGTTATTTCGAGCGGTTGATATGTATAATATATTTACATCTTTTGCTGTTTTTGAAACATATTGGTATATACACACTTAGGCGTATCTGGTAATTCACTACTACGCTACCGTAAGTTGGGACAATTTTGATTCAAAGTAACTTTCTCTTAAGGTTAAGAAATAATCATTTTCGATTTTGCAGCTCTTTTACAGGTATTGTTACGTGAAATGCCTTTTCACGAAAAGATCCAGTTAATTTAACAATTTGCAGAGCTGCAAAATCAAAAATGATCATTTTCTGACTTCGGAAAGAAGTTACCTTGCATGAAAAATTCACCAATTAATAAATAACGTAGCACACGAAGTAACAAAGAATTGATATATTACATACAAATATAAATTTTGTCCCAAGTCAGATAATAGTAAATTAGCCGAGTTCGATGCATGTAAACTTCTGTTTTGTTAAAATATTTAATGGTATTCAATCAAGAAATTTCTTCTCATTTCCAGTGATTTTTGGACGAATATCAAGATATTACAGTTGATAGAAAATTCGGATGTGTTAATCCCTGATTTGAATGTTTCTAGGACTGACAAACTAGAAAATAGCATGAAAGAAGCATAAACAAAATTTTAACCCTTCTTTTATGAAAGACTGATACTTTGTCGCTAATTACAATCAGCTATTACTTTTAGCAGTTAAGATTTACATACATTTAAATATTTTCCTCTTCTTGGAACACGTTTTTGTTAATCCAATTAGAATTTTTTTCGATATAAAAACCCAAATACCCAAAGAAATACTGTAAAGTTACGATCAAGAGCTTGTCAAACCGTATTAATTTGCTAATTAAACGTAGGAACTTTTTATACCTTGACTTCTTTTTGTTGTTTAAATGCAATAATTTTCTGAGATTAGTGTGTAATGAATTTTGCATGGTAAAATTAACATTTCACGGCACAAATAATCTTTTCTATGTCTACCTTGTAACATTGCTGGTTGAAGTACAGCATAATAATGGAACCTAAAATTCCTTAATCAATATAATCTTTATACAAATGCAGAAATGTATATGGGGAATGATTGTAAATTTAATTTTTAATGTGTTCTCATTACACGTGGTTTATGGATTGATTAAACCTATGAACGTTTGGAATTGTATTGCAGTGTAACAATTATTGGAATTTTACGTTCTGATGTAAAATCTATTCCATCTACTTGTTTCCCTAAATTCCAACATTCTTTGCAACTTTTGTCATGTTATAAGAATTTCCTGAATTAATGGTACAAGGACATTCATATTTTTCTTCTATTAATTTCTATTGCAATAAATGTGGTTTCTGGCGTCTCAAGTACATTCGTTCCTCTTGGATATTTGCTGTGTGAAAAAGAAGTGTAATAAATTGTTGCAGATACAGTTATTTGTTACGTATAAAACTATTTATTATTTGAAAGCTGCTTTAGAGACTATTTCTTTCTTAATACATACTCACACACGAAAATGTTCTGACATAAAATTTTTCTTTCTAAATAATAATTAGTAATTATTATTTACTCAGTAAGTGTCTTCTGTTAGTGTATCTAAACAATCATATTTTGCTCAACAAATAAGCAAGTAGTGTTATACTGTATGTTCTTTATCTTTTCAAAAATATCTATTAAATGCTCATACTATGTTGCTATTAATATAGCTACTCAAAAATTTACTATACAAATAAATTATGTTTTACGTGCATTTAGTATGTATTATATTATGCTAAGAAAAATAAGTTATTTCGTGAATTACCAAGTTATTTTTGAAATTTTAACTATTACAGTTGAAGTTACAACAGTTTTCAATGACAGCAGTTTATGTCTAATTTATAATTACTTTTCACATCAACACGTAAACGAATGATTCCGATTGCGAAACATTCATTTCCTGATTTATATAGGTCCGTTTGTTTCACTTGCACAACTTTTATCGAATGAAATTGTCCACAATGTAAAAATCGTAATCTATTTCCTTGAATTTACTGATGTATACTGATATATCTGACTATACTGATTGCACAACATCATCGAGCAATGAATCAAAACATTTCACGCTTAAGCACGACATGATTTCTCACGAATAGCAACACCTGAAGTTCTTTCATTCTTAATGTACTTCCTGCTAATCAGAAGAAGTAATAGCAAGGTGATTTCTAACATCACCATAGCCTTATTAGTACGATATTCCAGCAGTGCTATTATTTCATGTACACTATCGCTCATAAGTATTATAACACCTGGTCTTTATAGAGAAAATGCTATATTTTATCAAAATTATATGTTTTAAGCCACTTTTCTTACTTCATAATAGTAGAAGCATTATCCAGCGATTTTTAATATCCCTTATAAAATATTCATTTCTGACTTTCAGGAATTTTGTAATACTCTGTAACATTTACTGCATATTAAATAAATGCCCTAATACTTATGCGTGGGAGTGTATATCAACAGTAATGTAGGATTATTTCAAACAATGCATATAAGAATGATTACTTAATAGGAATGTTATAGATTCATTTAATAAAAATAATATTTTGGACGAAAATGGGTACCATTAAATAATAATATTACGTATAATTTTAATCCCTTACAGCTCATACAATTTCGTCGATTGAGTAGTGAGCATTCGTATATGCAAATGCATCAATCTTGACGTCCCATATCCCCTCATACAAAATATACTGTGCAATAATAAAATTTCATTTAACATCAATTCTGTACTGTGCAATTTTACATATAACATTTCAAACACGTTCGATTATTTAACTACTAGTACCTAACACCGCATAGTTATATTCTTCATTCATATCATGATTTCCTGTACAATACAAGTTTCTTGAACGGGTAAATAAACAAAAATTTATTAAAACTAGCAATACAGTAATAAAAGTTACAGAGAAATATAGAAACAGTTAGGTCGAGATCCTCAGATCCGGTTAAAAAAACTTAGGAGACTATAATAGGAAAAGGAATATGGCAACGTGACTCAAATGGTTCAACCGTGGGCTGACCAGTCCATTCTACCTATATTCCAACAAAACACAAATGAAGATGTTATTTACAGTCTATGTCACTTCTTCGATGCTCTTCATATCTTCGGTTACGAAGACCAATACTTAACATTGACGCTACACAGGCCTGACTCGATCTACCGCATTCTCAAATGTTCAGCTAGCTCCAGTTTGCATAATAAAACAATAGTTCACCGTCGTATCTCTTCGTAACGAATTTGACTGCGCCCAGCGCCGGCGAAGCTTAGGAATCGCGCCATTTCACCGCCATCGCCATAACACTTTCCATCCTCGGTCCGTCCGTTCGACGGTGGACGTTTGCACGGCCAGAAAACGTTAGGGCCTGGCTCGAGCGAGCGATAAGGAATTCAGCCGTGCATACCATTCGCGCGTAGTAGTACTACTCGAGTTCACCGATCCGCGAAACTCGCTCTCTCCTCGCCATCTTCTGTTTCCTATTGACTATAAACCGCGCGCGCCGATGCAGATCCGGTTTCGTGCCTGGAAACTAGAATAACTGGGCTGGTCTGCCGGCATTCTATCGTTAATCCGACTATTTCGATTACCGCTCGTGTGACGTGATAAAGGCACGCTTCCCCACTTCGAGGCCGCAGTGCAAGCCTAACCCAGACACAACCATTTGGAGGCGTCTGACATATGACGAGTGTTTCTACTGCTTAGTTCGCGTGAAATACCGCCCATAAGTATTTCTCACTTTGACTGCCACGTCACCCAAATATGGATGACACGTACAATGCAAAAAGGCTGGATTATTTAAATTTTGTCAGAAAATTTTTGCGCAAAATTAATATCGGAGTATAATTTAAAACAGAACCAACAGCCTCTATTAACTAAACGCATATATTTTCGACAATTTATGATTTAAAAAACGAAATACAGTGTATCTGGCTACGTACAACCTTTTTTACTGTGGCAATCAACGTGTTAAACACACATTGTCGATATTACAATATTAATGAATTCGACATGAATATTCTTCAACACCCTACAGAAAATACTCTGGAAGTTCTCACGCCCTTCCCAGTCATTATTAAAGCCCACCCCTTCTTAAGCCTAATTTCTTGTGTTTTTCAGTGTGTCACACTTTGTTCCGTAGTAAAGTAGTACCTGTAATTTGAGGATATTAACCTTGTACTGTAACAGTCCATTGTCTACGGAACACCAGGCAGACGCAGCTATCCTTCAACTATTTAATACATACTGTACAAAGTAGAGCCAGCCCTTAATCACCTAAAGCATACCTCCTCAAAAGGATGAACAACGCCGGGCACATGCAGCTAGTTTTTAAAGAAATAAGACTGTTCTGTCCGGTCGGTTTAAATTCCACGACACAGTCTACTTGCAATTACCTTTCGAATAAATTCAAAAATTTAAAAGGCCCCGACACAAGGACGGTTTATTTATTTATTAGATCCAGTTATTATTTTCCTCGTCATCATTAAACCCTCAAGATTTGAGTCCAAACACGAGGTACAACAACCGTGGCTGAGATGCCTTCAGAAATTATGAAAAGATTTGAAGAACTTGAAAACTATTGAACCGATTTTGACCAAACATAGCGATTAACCTTCCTGGAAATGTACACTTTAAAACAAAAAAAACAACATTAAGATCGGATCATTCGTTGATGAGCTATGCAGCCACATACATACACAAACATAGGCGTCAAACTTAGAACACCCTTCCTTTTTGCGTTGGGGGTTAAAAAGGCGAACACGCGATCATCAGGCCCTGGTCGAGGGATTCCCGAGGAAGTTGAGTCGACTAGTTTTCGAACTATTCTGCGTTGGTTCGAAAAAGTTCATGTAGGAAGTGGGAGCCTTGAAGAAAGTTTTGACCGACCAGGTATTATTGATATGTAGCTTTGTAAGAGTTGGTTGAACAAGACCCCAAGGATAACAGTGCGGGAAATTGCAATGAAAATGAGTGCTTCCATTGGTATTCTTAGTGAACATTTAAGAAAAATAGGCAAGACACAGAAAATGGATAAGTGGATTCTGCACAAGCTGTGACAGCAACGAAATCCTTCAGAACTTTCCGAAAGACCTAACATTTGTTAATTATCACAACTTACGTTTTTCCCTAACAATTTAATATGTTCGCATTTTGATAGGACAGACATATACAAATCAATGAAGACATTTCGCATGAAAATCATTTATATGTAGGTATTTGTAAAGTATCTCACAAGTTTGCATGATCATGTGAGTGTCCGGTTTATTTTTGGACGTTAGTCTACACCGCCTCGAAACGCTTTTCGCGTGTGTTCGTTTAATTATATATATATATATATTGACGGCAATTATATTAATGGATTGATCGCGTGATACCTCTTATACGGGGAAGCATGCTATGTATTACGTGCGCTCTATGAACGGTAATTATTGAAATTGTATGACAACATCTAACCCAGTACACGCTGATGGAAACTTTGAGTGGGAGAACATAAACGTAATAGAATTATGGGTTGACTGTAGGAATTTCCTGTCGTTGATAGTATTTCAAAACCTCTAAATTTATTTAATTTACAAAGATATTTCGGAACAAAAGCGACTCTTGCCAAATGTTTCGGTTTTTGTGACAACCACAGGTTCTGGTAGTTAGAAGCGAGGCTCACAACGTCATCGAATCTAGACTATCAAAATCTACCTATATCCTGATTTATTCGGAAAAGAAAATTCACCGATCCTTAAGATTCTTAACAACTAGATTAAAAATTGATAAGGATCGTTTTATTGTGAACCCCTCAAATGCTCGAGAAACACAATGAACACATTCTTGTAATTTTGAAAGTTATGTGTATGAAAAACTTGATTCGTTACGAGGCGAACCCTTTTAATAATGGAATTAATCAAGAACAAATTCTAATCCAGTTATTTCTGCTTCCAGGTAATCCCGGCATGCTTTCTGCTGCTAATAGAAGCAAGGCGAGTGGAGGTCCGGCCTCGTGTAGCCGAACCGCAAGTTTATTACGAAGAAGACGACAGCCAGGCGGCTGAAGACGACTATAGTCCAGCGGTCTACCAACCACGCACTCGTGCCCTTCCTTCGCCGCGATCGAAGGACGCTCTGCACCCATCTAAACCGCCTCCAGTTCAGACAATTCGCAATTACAACAAGGTCAACGACGACGGCTCTTTCACTTTCGGCTACGAAGCCGCAGACGGCTCATTTAAAGAGGAGACTCGAGGAACTGATTGTGTGGTACGCGGCAAATACGGTTACATCGATCCCGATGGCAACAAGAGAGAATTCACGTACGTTTCTGGGAATCCTTGCGATCCAAACGCGCCGAAGGATGACGATGATGATCTGTCGGACAAACCAGAAGAAGATGATCTGAATGCACCAGCGAACTACCCCTCGGTAAGACCAGTACCACGCCCTGTGCCAGTAAGACCAAACTATCAACAATCTACCACCCGAGCGCCCACCACAATTTTCCAATCGCAATATCAACTGGACGATGACGCCAGCCAAGAATTGGGTGAAGACGATGTCGTGAAGCCGACTCAGTTGAGACAAGGTGCCTATCGAAACCAAGCTCAACCAACTTACGTCTCCGTAACACCATCAACAGCTCTGTACGAGCCATCGCCTACCGTCAGCCCTAGCCACTACAGATTGGCCTCTTCAACGAGCCAGTATCAGACCACAGCGTCGCCTGTTCTTCGTACTCAACCCACGGTCTCCTCGACAGCCTATCAGACCCACGAAACGACAACCCGCCGTCCGGTAACGCGTCACCCGAAGCCGCAATCGGTCGCAATCACGCCCCGGCCCCACGTTGCACAAGTAGCCGCCCAGTACGTGTCCCCTAGTAGCACCGAGCGTTCAGCGTTAGCGTACGGCCGCCCCTCGGCGGTCACCGTATCGCCCAATCTACGCACGACCACGCTAGCTAGCGCATCTCACCTTGACTTTGCCGCGGAGCTCGAGCGTTACGTGAACACCGTCGGCGTGTCCGCCAGTCCTAAGCCTGTCCAACAGTCGCCCCAACCAACGAAAGCTAGAGCGCCAGTCGCCGCATCAGACCCAATCTACCAGTCGGAGCTCGTGTACGATCCCTCTACCGGTCAGTACCATAACCAACTTTATCAGACACTACCCCAAACCGTGGGCGACTTCAGCCTAAGTCACAAACTCCAACCGTTCGTAGCCCAACCCCAGTCCTATCTCGGACTCCAACAGCTGCAGCAGCTTCAGCCCCAGCAGCAGCTACAGTCCCAGCAGCCCCAGCAGCCCCAGCGTCAGTCTCCACTTTATAAGCAACAGGTTGCCCAACCGGCCCCATCCGCCCCCGCTGCTGCAGTAACCCAACCTCAGGAAGTGTTGTATAGGAAGCAACAGTCCCAGCTGTTGCAACAGTCCCAACAGCTATACGCTCAACAACAACGCCGTCAGCAGCAACAACAACAGCAGCAACAACAACAGCAGCAACAACAACAGCAACAGCAACAACAACAGCAGCAGCAGCAGCTTCAGCAGTCGCATAGACTTCAGCTGCTCGAATCCCAGACGCAACCCCAGTCCTACTACTATGTTGCACCCGCAAGGTCCGCCAACGCTGGTCAACAACCCCTTACCGCAAGTCAGATCGATCATTATCTTCGAGCTAGTGCAGCCGGTTACTGATCAGATTTTAAGCGTGAGTCTTTTCTCCACATACGAAATTAACAGGGAATCCCCATCATTTTTTTATACCATTTGAGCACGTTGCCTAGGCACCTGGCGGCACTTTACCAGGTGTGATAGTGCTGCCAGTAAGCCTGACCGGTACATATTCAGGATTTAATTGAGCACGTGCCGTGCTAGATGTTCCGTTGGACATTGTTGAAGAACAACCAAAATGTTCTTAAGATTGTGGTATAAATTAATATTCGTTCGGGTCATGTATTGTCTTGTTAAAATAGCTTTGATGCTTCATCGAGTTCAACGAAAGGTTTCGTGGTATTCTTGCATGGTGATTAGTACATATGTATCGTAATTATACAGTATTTTCACTAAGTATCGTTCCTTTCAAAGATTCAAAATGTTACACTTAAGCCAGATTCACACTAGCAGTCGAAGGTACGGTCCGATCACGATCAATCTGAATTTAGACTATATCTTTCTCATTAGATTACGTGTGATTGATAAAAACCGTTGCCTGATTTGACGTGATCTGACCGTACCGTGACCGCTAGAGTGAATCCTGCTTTAAACGGCGAAACAATTTGTGATTGATATTGAATTTTGAGTATATCACTAAAATTCACTCTTTTGCAAGATGGTATAATTACATATTGTATGTACACTAGATTTCGTATGCAACATACCGAACTATTTCACTAAATAGAGTACACTCACGTGACAAATCGATTAACACGTTTAATCTATCATAATACAAAAGAAGTACCAAAACGTGCGTACAACATCAATATGAAAATTTACAAATTCCAACGGTAAATTGCAAAAACATAACGACCTTGACAGTGCCGACCTGTAGATTGCGTCATGTATTGAAACAATACTGTGATACAATTAACATTTGCTAAAATTCCTTCAACGTTAATTCTGTGTGATTATATAAAATAACTTTTCCAAACAAAGGCATCGCCTTCTAATTCAGAGTATCGAGAAAAATTTTCTTCATTTTGTAATGACACTTGTTAGATCCAGGAAGCTTTTGCAACGTATATTCAAAGTATCATTTTCGAGTCCAATTTCTGCTCTATTTTTCCATTGTTTACATAGCAAACGATTATCGTTCGAGAGTGAAAGTCAATGACCTGACGCAATGCTCACGTACACGAGATACATTGCCACGTCAATTTCTCATCGCGTCGATGGTAACATGCTATACCGCACAGATTCCACATCATGACCAGAATATTCATCGTGTACACGCGAACATTTCAGACACGATCCCGGCCCACGTACCCGGCTGATTTGATTACAAAACACCCATACGTAGGATTAAACCGGATAAACAGTTGCTGTCGTAATGATGACGGTACGTTTTAATCACTTTCTGATAGCTTCTCCCGGACACTTAAGGAAATGGCTAGGGATTAGACAGGAAATTAATTGTACAATTAGTATTTAATAATTTATGGCAATCGAAAACGCAATGAGAACGTTTCGTTTTCAAATGTAATGGAAATGTGATAAAATCTATTCATTGGAGAAAGTGATGGCAGTAAATGTACCTACTTTAAGAAAATATTTAGCATGAATATTCAGACGGCTGTAATTTTTTCTCTTTGGTTCAAAAATAGGTGTTCCAATAAGTCACTGACTAAGGTTACAGTAAAAATGCAATAGAATTTAAATTCGGAATGCCTTTTTGATTTCTTGTTCAGTCAAAATCACATAGGGTGTTGGAGACGAATAAGAATATTGTAAAACTAGCATGAACGTTTGATTTCTTTTTGAGAAAACAGCGTTTTTTATAAAGTATATAGTATATTGTATTTACTACGATTCTGATGCAACAGAAACTACATTACATGAAACCCTGCTTTTACATGTTTTACAGTTTGGGCGTTCTTTTCCAATTGGGATTTTAACTAAATATTTTCTATAAACTTGAAACAAGTGCCAAAACAAATTTTTTTTCATCGCATAGAAAATTAAACGTTACATTCTTAGAGAAATAGAATGGAAAGAGTAAAAGAAGTTAAAAAACACTATTGCTGACTTTAAAATGATCATTGTTAGCTAAACGGTTCAGTGGAACAGTCGACAAAATCTTTGATGTCAAGTGCCAAAATCTTTAATTTTAGAAAACTGTGGGTAAAGTTAAATTTTAACAGAAAAGTCTATATACCTCCAAACACTAAACACATTAATATGTGTATTTACTATCATCAGAAAACACTTGTACCATTTTTCCTCTAGGTAAATACGTCTCTCGTGTATCGTTTCCAATACTTACCTAGTTTCTGGAAAAAAATGTACATGCTCAATTTCTCCACTGAGCCCACCAATTAATCAAAGATCTCTGACAAATGAGGTTCAAAGAAATTACAAGACTTCGCAATATTCAAGTTTTGAGAAAATCCTTTCCTTGTATCACGATTCCCTTTCCATTACATTACATCAAAGATGGGCAAATTCATTATCTAGATAAAAAATTTCGAATAACGAATAAAAGATAAAAGAAATACATCTATAAAATCATATTTCGAAATTCTATAGAATAGTATTTCCAAATTCTATAAAATAATATTACTTCTTGAATGAGTATAATTATATGAGTATAATAACTGGGTAACAATTATTTAACCTTATTAACTATTTAAAAGTCAAAATGAGAATCTTAGATACTGCTGCTTTTGAGTATGTATTATTCGAATAAAATTCTGCCCAACTCTATTTCATGTCATATACAGCACAGAATAGCCTGTTGTCGGTTTGAAAGATTCATTCTGTTAATAAAAGTACCATCGCGTTCTCCCTTCCGGTATACGAATAGACGCTTCCGTATCAAGAAACGGTATCAGCGTTTCGCAACGGCAAAATTTTGCAAGCTCGCCCGAAGTGCGATCGAACCCGAGGACCGTCTAAGAAGTGACTGTACTTTCATTGGCGTGGTCTGGCGCGCAGAGACATTCTATTCAGCCCCGATGAACTTTCTATTTTGCATTCCCTGTCGCAAGTGTGAGAATCGATTCGAATCTAATGCGTCCTACGACTCGATTCCGTGGAAAGCTATGCGCACGTAGCTGTGTATGCCCGTGGAAATCTATGGGTCGGTCGTAAATCGAAAGGCGTGGACCACAGCGGAGATCACGCGAACAAATTTCACACGCATCGAAAGGTTCGTTCTAGTAGCACATTTAACGAGTGCTTTTCTCTGTTACGTGCTAGGTCGGTCAATTGTCAGGTTCGTTAATGCATACTGCTCGAAAGAATTAGGGAATCGCTGATTCGAATGGTCCTGTTGCATACACCACGCGAAACGAGTAAAGCAAAAATGCTGTAGGTTTGCTAGATTGATATCTTTTTTGGTACAATTCTAACAGTATTAACGTATTCAGACTTGACTTATTTCTTTTGAGGAAAATATTTTTTTAAAGGTATTTTATTTGGGACAAGGAGGTAGGAAAATATTTTTTGATACTGGAAACAGCAGACGAATGAATAAGGTGTACACTATGATGTACACTGACGTGCACACTCGGCTTCCGCTAGGGGAAAAAATGGCGTAAGAAAAGAGCTTCCTACCATTTAGTAAAATTTATTTCAGGTGCTGAAATAAATGTTAAACCGAATGTTAATTTGGCATAAATTTCAGTTATTGCCAAAACTAAATGTTAGGAGGCCCTTCGCCTACCTCACTTTTTCCCCTAGCGGAAGCCGAGTTTGCTCGTCGGTGTACAAAAGGTTCCGTGTAAATAAAACGTCAAATAGCTTCAGAAGAAAGATTAAAATTGTTCATTACAATGTTCGCTGGGTCTGAGGAGGTTAACACCTAGTTATATTTGTACCAGAAACTGTTTGGAAATTGTACGTTGTTTTGATGCTCAAAACTACTGCAATACATCGACGTGCATTTGCAAAAATAGCACGTTTCATTTTTCTTACCAAACACAGTAAATGTGCCTTCGTTATTACGAAAACATCACATTTCGTTTTTCTCTGTGAAAATTGGCGTATTTGAATGGTTGGCTACGGAAAGAAGCGTGTTCCGTCTACTGCTGTGACAACTAACACGGTTGAGTGACTTGTCAAGAAAAGGTAGCATGTATCGTTTGTAGCGACTTAAATTATGGAGATCAAAATTTTCATACTCTTTTTCCTTTTGGAGCTTAGATCTAGTTATTATTTATTAAACAATGTTTACAAAGGTAGAGTTTTTCGACCCAAAATGCATTTCAACAATTTAAATTTTCAGTACTGCTTTTCTTTGTGGCGAACCAGTATAATATATTAGTTTTCGCGGCAGAAGATCAAACGTGCTAATACATAAATATGCTTCTTTAAATGGCAAATTGAAACGTGCTGTTCTCCATGAAACACATGAAACGTGCTGCTGTCGAATATATTCGGTCTATAGAACACACGAAACGTGCTATCTTCTAGTTGTTTCAAGCAGTAAATTTATCGTGTCTATTTATTAAACGATGAGCTTGAACAGGAGGCGAGTAAAATTGACGATGGAAGGCGGTTACGAGACGATTTACGTCGACATCGAGAGTAACAAAATCGGATATGATTGCAAATCTAGAGTAATTACATAACGATTATGATCGTAGCTTTTTCGTCGGCGTTACCATGCAGAAGTGTCGATTTGTACACTTTGCCTACTCACATTGTAAATACATTTTTCGTTTAGCATTATTATTTAGCTACCTAGCGATTTATACGTTTATCAAATGTCTTCGGCTAAGGAAAAACGTTTCTTACGTTTATAGTTGTTTTTATATTATTTGTAAACATGATCGAAGAAAGATACATTGTAATGAAATACCGTCTGTGCGTTACTCGTTTCATTTCTGACACCTGAATCGTTCCGGCGCTGGGTTTTAGAGTTTCTCGCCGTTGACGAAGGAAAGTAAAAGCCCCAGCAGCAACCGTAAGTACAACAAAAATATTTAATGTATCACTTCCATGACTTCTCGCCGGCACGCGTGGCATTACGTTGGCAG